ATACTAATATATTTCCTTGTCTATGTTGATGACATTGTTCTCACAGGTAATAATTCTATGGCACTTGAATCATTTGTTCACCAGCTCACAACAAGGTTCTCGGTTAAAGATCTGGGCACACTCCATCACTTCCTTGGAATTGAAGTGGTTCCCACTCCAACTGGAATATTTTTGACTCAACGTCAATATATTCTTCACATTTTGGAATCTTGCAAAATGGACGGTGCAAAGGAGTCTGCCACCCCGATGTGTACAAAAAATTATCTCTCACTCTCGGATGGCTCACCTCCTGCTGATGCAACTCAATATCGCCGGACTCTTGGTCTTCTCCAATATTTATCCTTTACCCGGCCTGATATCTCATTTGCTGTCAACCGTCTATCCCAGTTCATGCATGCCCCGACCGAGACTCATTGGCAAGGTGTGAAAAGAATACTACGGTATCTAAAAGGTACACTGGACCACGGACTTTTTCTTAATCGGTCTTCTCCCTTAACACTCTCGGTATTCTCAGATTCCGATTGGGGAGGGGTGACTGATGGGGGACGTTCAACTACAGCCTATGTTCTGTATTTGGGAGGTAACATTATTTCGTGGAAGTCGGCAAAACAAAAAACAGTCTCTAGGTCCTCTACCGAAGCTGAATATAAGGCCGTTGCCAATGCTAGTGCAGAAATGTTATGGGTACGAAATTTGCTCACTGAGTTGGGAATTTCTCTAGCATCCACGCCACAACTTTTCTGTGATAATCAAGGAGCTACTTATGTATGTATTAATCCGGTGTTCCACTCTCGGATGAAACATCTTGCCTTAGACTTCTTTTTTGTACGTGAACTGGTTGAGAGCGGCCAACTGATGGTCAAACATATATCCACAAAACATCAAATTGCTGATATTCTTACCAAACCACTCAGCAAGGCGCCATTCCATTTTTTCCGCTCCAAGCTCGGAGTATCCAACGGATCCTCCATCTTGCGGGGGCGTATTGAAGCATAATATTATCACAATATTATCTTGTACATATTAGCACAATATTAACATATATTTATCACGTGTAATTATCATGTACGTAGGGTTAAGTTCTATCCCTTAGTTTATGCTAGTTAGTTAAGTCTAGCTTATCACCTCAATTGTACAGCCTATATATTGATGTACATACATCGTGCTAAATGCATCAATAATATACTTCTCCTAATACTTCTTCACCTTCCCGATTGAATTGTTTGCTTAAATTTGGTATGGATGTACTAGACTTGATGAAGAACATGCTCAAAAAATTACATCGAAAAATTCCACCGGGAAGGCCCTCAAAACGTGGAGGCCGCACGGCGGCTCCGGTAAGGTATAATACCGGAGCAAACTTCTATATCTATATATATATAGAGATATATAATACCAAATTGAACTCTATGCCTCTTAAAATAATAGATTTTAATCTTCAATGTTTGAGCTTGTAAACTTCAAATGTTGCTACAATTTATAATCAGCAATAACATGTACAGTTTAAGATGCATTATATTCTATCAGTCCACATTTCTGTGATTCTGTAGAAATCAATTTTGTGCTCTACCATTATGATATGCACAACTCTTTTTCTCCTGTATTGTTCACTCTATGTAAGTCTCACCATTTGGTCTTTTTTTTCCCGGTAGATCTGCAAAACGATGGAGTTACTTAAGATATGCAAAATAAACTACTTTCAAAGGTGTAATTCCTTCGACTATCTAAAGCTTAAACAGAAATTTACACAAAGCTCCAAATTAAATTATTTGAAATATTTTTGTTTTTAAAAACTGAACGTATGCTTTTATATTTAAGAAAACATATCTATGGTTTGAAACATGCATCCATTTCATTTTAATAACCGAAGTTCTACTTTTCATAATTATTTTCCAAAAAAAAGTCTAATTATCATTCATTTCCGAAAGGGACGTGCAATTTGTGTTTTTATTCTAACACATGCTTTAGATCACATCTCTTTTATATTAGATCACATCTTCTAACTATGAACACAAAAAACAAAATCCAAATTTGAAATTTGAAAACCACAGAACATTGTATTTTCAGCATAGACTGCTAAACTTTTGACGTGCTTATCTCTGTTTCTTCTTGGCAGACATCTAGAGATAAGCAACACATGAATGATCAAAGAAATGATTTGAATAAATGTGCAAGGAAACAATGTTTTTCATTTTAAAATAACAATGGCTTTTACCTGATGCCTCTTACATGAATGATTGTTCATTTTGCAGGGGCAATTATTTTTAGATTACTTGATGAAAGCAGAGCAAATTGTTGAGCATTATGATTTTACTTGAGAGTTTGGTGTGTATATTTGAAAGACACTGCAGAGATTAGATGTTTGGATATGTGTTTATCGTCATGTGTGTTGAAATTCATCCCCAATGGTCCCTAATTTATAAGAGCAAAAATTCTAGATTTTTCCATTGGCATGTAAAAAGTCACATCGTAGCAGGTGGATACTTCATTTTCTTATTGTATGCTTTCCCAGTTGAATTGTGTAAACTAATTTTAATATGTAATTTGTAATTTGTAATAAACAGTACTTCATTGGGATAAGAATTTATATATGCATCGACTAATGTGATATAGATTAATTCAACCATTAATCTAAATACTCCGTATTAAAGGCTTTGTCCTCTTCTAATCTTCTTACAGCATTTATCACTTTGTCCCTTTTTGAAAAGTTCAAGGGTCAACTTCTGATTAAGTTTTTCTTCAATTTTGTTGGGGGTTGCTAGGCGCACCCCCAAAATTACTTAATCTAACCCACTTTGACACTTTTAACCTTGTTTATGTAGCCTTGCAAATTAAACTCATGCGTCCTAAGTCTAAAATGAAGCCTTTTTCAATTACAAACTACAAAGGATAATAAATCCAACCGCACATTCTTTTGGCCTGTTTTTTTTTTTAATTTCAGATCTTTTTCAAGGTTCTTTTTGTTAAACAAATTTTAAATATTTGTGTTTCGTTTACCATAATTCAGTCAATTTCACTAATTCAACCGCTTTGGTCAGAATTTTACCACTTGTTACAAATTCAATCGATCCACCCAGTTTCAGGGTTACCGAACGGACTATGCATAATAGTTATAGAAGTCAAAATATTTTGAACATTTAAACATATCACAAATCCCGTTTGATAACCATAATTTCATTTTGTTGCCCTTAATTATGAACTAATTTAATGTAAGAAACATAACTTTTAATTTCGTGTGATGAATTCTATAATAATCAATATAAGTAAAGTTGTAGTTATTTTCTGGCTAATTTGGTTGAAGTTACTTTATGAGCCTGTTTGGTAACACGAAAAACGGCCGATTCTGGTTGAAGTGATTGCATTGGCTGATTCTGCTGATTTAAGAAAAAAAATATCTTTAAATTTTTTTCTAAATAAAATAAATATGTAAAAATAGCTAAAATGGTCATCTACGATAACTTCAACCAATACAACCAGAAAATAAACTCAAACCTTAATTTTTCTTATTATTACACAATTCAGCATGCGAAAATATAAGTTACGTGTTTGGTGAAAAAGTGGTTGATAAGTCTGATAAACCAAAAAACAGTGTTACCAAACGGTCTCTGATCGCTTAACTGTATTTTATTACTAAAATATGTAAAAAAATCCATTATTCTAAATCTCAATATCAATCTACTACACAGTGAAGCTTTTCAAACAATAGTTAGTTTGATTAAAATAGAGTTACGATATCTTTTAAAATAGATATGTACAGTCACTCCCCCATCTTAATTTTGATTTAATTTGGTTTCAAATTATAAGTAATATTTTTGTAAACCCTTAAATTATAAACTAGAGAATACCTTCTTTTAAAGATCAGGAATACAACTTACTGAAATAGTGCGCTTCACGCTGATAGCAAAATGTTACGTTGTATAATTTGGGTTAATTTCAAAAACGTTAAAACCCCTCTAAACATACAGCTAGGACATAATTGTCCAACAACGTGATAAATTGGGAGCGCTTAGCAAAAACAAAGGTGCGCCGAGATGCACCGATTTTGTTTTTGCATTCACACGTTTTCGTATTCTCTCACGTGCAACACACGTTTTTTCCGCCCAAATTCCCCCACACTTTTCTGTTTTACTATATATATAATATAATATATACTATATAGAAATATATAGATTACAAAAGGATGCCTAATATTGTTAATCAAGGTGGCCGGCAGAGTTCTAGTGATAAAATTCCGGCCCTTACGGCTTGTTTGGATTGAGTGTTGAGAGGTGTTAGTAATGGAAATGTTAAGGAATGTTAATTTGAACACTTGTTTGGGAGAAAAATTAAAAGTTTTTAGAGGTGTTAGTAAGCGTTTCAGGATGTTAGATATAACCTCCCCAACACCTATGTTTATCACTTTTTTAACACTCCAATTTGGGGTGTAAGGAAGTGTTGGACAACATTTGTTCTTTTTTAACCGTTCCTCTTTCTTCCGCAGCGGGGCCAAATTGTTCACTTGCGGCTCTTCTTCCGGCAGAGACTTCTCCTCCAGATTTGTCTTCTCTTTTCCTATTTCTTCTTCATCTTTTTCGATTTTACCTATCTACGAATGATTTATTCGTACTTAATAATATTTTAAAAGGTATGAGAATATTTTTGTCAATTTTAGTGAAAACACTTCCATTACTAACACTTCATTTTTTTAACTCTCCCAAACAAGGTATGATTATGTTTAACACTTACACTTCCATTCCCTTCTGGTCCCCTGTCAACACTTACCAACGCTTCCATTACTAACACCTCCCAACACTCCATACAAACAAGCCGTTAGCAAATTCATGTATATTCACGCCCACCGTTTATGAACCTCCCATAGCAATTCGTGGGAATATATGTAAAGACGTGATATAATTTACACTTATCACTGAACATAAATAGGAATATGTAAAGACACAAGTAAAATAAAAAAGCAACGTTCTTCTTCACTCACACATATATGCTCGTATAATATTATCGGCCGGATATACTAGCTCGTAGAATATACAATTACAGTTAGATTCAAGTACTCAATCGCCAAAGCTAGCAGTTCTATAAACGGTGCGTAGTAGTTAATTGAAATACTTTTACCTATCTTCTTTATGTGTAATAATGTAATCTTTTGTTGTGACTTGTGTATTATCTAAATATTTACCCAATATATATGCTTAATGGATGTTCCGGTATGTATACATGTGTAGTTGTAGACAATATATGTAACGTATGGATATGGAAATGAGATATAGGGTAAATAACGTGTTTTGGTTAATATAACAGATCAATGGAAAACAAACTTCCAAGATTTTTCAAGGTGTTGATGCCTGGCTTTCGTACTAGACTGGTATGTTGTGTTATTTCTTCCCACCTTTGGTATTCTTTTTGATTTTTGACCTTTTTAATTATGTTTAATATATGGCCATCTTAACAATAAGACCAAGTTTTATTGTCAATAGGACATTTTATTGTCAATAGGACATCACTCGTTGGATTACAACAATAAAACAATACGACAGTATAAGCTTTTCAAAGTAAGAGTGAATTAGTAATTGTTTTGGAAAGAACACAATGAAAACTTTGGAGGAATTGAGACATGAAGCTATAATACAATAAAATATTATATAAGACTTTGAAGTATCCCTCTTATGTAACATTTCCGGATAAAATTTCAAGTCTTAACAATAGGACCAATAGGTTACGTTATAAAACCGAAACTGAAAATGCAAAGGGTGTACATATACAGATACTCCCCCCAGCTATATCTAAGGAGCTAATGGTTCGAAAAACGGGTAAAGTAGTAACTCTAATTAGCAGAAAGGGAAGGTTTGAAGTTGAAATCTGTTCGAAGTAGTATATGGAACGTATGGCATAAAATCCGAGCTGTCTTTATTCATGTGCTAAGCCAAAGATATATACACGTACAAGAAGAATAATGAGCCCTTGGCCCACCATGACTAAACTAATACGGAGTATACAATTAATGAATTATACAAATAATAATAGGCCCATAACACCCCCCCTCAAGTTGGAGCATGGGGGTTAAAAATGCCCAACTTGCTAAGAAGAAATAGAAATTGCCGTTGTCCAAGAGCCTTAGTGAAAATATCTGCCAATTGATTATTTGTAGAGACATGACACGGGGTAAGAAGATTATCCTGAATAGCGTCCCGTACATAGTGACAATCCACCTCAATGTGCTTTGTACGTTCGTGAAAGACAGGATTCTGGGCGATATGAAGAGCGGAGCGACTGTCACAAAATAAAGACATAGGCTGAGAGTGAGCTATGCCGAGAGATAGTAGAAGCCCCTTTAGCCACTTCAGCTCTGCAGTGACTGCGGCCATAGCCCGGTATTCGGCCTCCGTTGAGGAACGGGATACAGTATGTTGCTTCTTAGTCTTCCAAGAAACAGGAGAACCACCCAGAAAAATCAACCAACCAGTGAGAGAGCGACGAGTGAGTGGGCAACTCGCCCAATCCGAGTCACACCAGGCCGAGAGGTGGAAATCTGAGGAGGACGAAAGAAGAATCCCTTGACCAGGTGCGCCCTTAATATAACGAACAACCCGTAAAGCAGCATGCCAATGATCCTGACGTGGGGCCTGCATAAACTGAGATAAAATATGAACAGCATAGGCTAAATCTGGTCTGGTAAAGGATAAATAGAGAAGGCGTCCCACAAGACGTCGGTATGATTCGGGATCCGAGAGTAAATCCCCCGTAGCAAGTGCCAAAGAATGATTCTGTTCCATAGGAGAAGGAGAAGGTTTAGCACCAAGTAGACCAGCTTCTGAAATAATATCCAAAGCATATTTTCGTTGACAGAGAAACAATCCCTCAGTACTTCGAGCTACCTCGACACCCAGAAAATATTTGAGAGGTCCCAAATCTTTCATATGAAAACAATTATGCAGATATTGCTTGAAACGAGATAAAGCAAGAGAATCATTGCCAGCAATAATAAGATCATCAACATAAACAAGAACATGTAACCGACAGTCACCTTGTCGGTAAATAAACAAAGAATAATCGGATTTGGACTGAGAAAAACCATAATCCCGCAAGGAAGTAGCAAGTTTGGCAAACCAACATCGTGGGGCTTGCCGTAAGCCGTAAAGAGATTTCTTCAACTTACAAACAGTAGTCGGCCGAGAAGAATAAAAACCAGGTGGAGGTTTCATGTAAACCTCTTCACCTAAATCACCATGGAGGAAGGCGTTGTGCACATCCATCTGGTGTAACTCCCAATTTTTAGCCGCAGCAATGGCTAAAAACATGCGCACAGTGACCATCTTAGCAACAGGGGCAAAAGTTTCCGTATAGTCAATACCTGCGCGCTGATGGTTCCCGAGAACGACCAGCCGTGCCTTTAGCCGTTCCACCGTGCCGTCGGAATTATATTTGATTTTATAGACCCATTTACTACCGAGTGCTTTCTTTCCCGGAGGTAGCGCCACCATATCCCACGTACAATTGTTTTCAAGAGCGCGAATTTCATTTGCCATGGCATCACGCCAGCCAGGGTCCGTCATGGCCTCGCGGAAAGACCGTGGTTCCTGTCCTGCAAGAATAGCTCCAAGAAACTGGCAGTGGCGTGAAGAGAATTTTTCACAATTTATATAATGTGCTAAAGGGTATGGCGTACCTGAGGAACGGAGAGGAGAAGATGGCGGAGGAGATGGGCTATATTTCCGTACGTGATGAGTGACAAAATCCCGCAAGAGAACAGAGGAGCGCTTCTCCCGTAAGCCACGTCCAAGAGGTGCAGCCGGTACTTGAGGCGTGTCTGCATGACCCTCAGCCGAAGTGGTTTCCGTAGGGGGTACGTCCGATGCAGCTGTCTGGGAGACCCCTACGGGATCATCGTAAATGACCACCCCACCCTCGTGGTGCACGGGTTCAGGATGGGATGCCATGGCTGATTGCTCGGAAAAAGGAAAAATATCCTCATGGAATTTGACATCTCTAGAAACAAAGATATCACCTGTGTCCCAATCATATAATTTCCAACCCTTTTTGCCAAAAGAGTATCCAACAAAAACACAACGCCTACTCCGCGGCGCAAACTTATCACCCCGAGATTTCAAGTTATATGCGAAAAGTAATAAAGGATGTAAAAAAATGAAATACTTCCTTTTTGTCACGCAACAAGTATACCCATACAGCCCGCGAAAAATCATCAACCAGAGTAAGAAAATAAACAGCACCACAAGTAGAAGGGGTTTTATAAGGACCCCACAAATCACAATGTATCAGTTCCAAAATGCAACTTGCGCGAAAACTGCTGATAGGAAAAGAGTCACGAACTTGTTTGGCTTGCGGGCACACCTCGCAGGCTTTACTCAATTTTTTCGCAGAAGTACTAGTAATAAAGTGAGGTAATAGTTTAATGACCCTATCTGACGGATGACCCAGACGACGATGCCACAGCTCGAAATCTGACAGACCCGTCGTGTGAACAGCATGTAGTGCGGGAATTCCCCGAAAATAATATAGCCCATCTCTTCGTTCACCTGCTCCAATCAGGTTCCTCGAGTGTAGGTCCTGAATAGCACAAAATAAATTAGTGAAAACAACAATACAAGCATTCTTATCAATCAGCTGGGAGACAGATATAAGATGACAATTCAATCCAGGCACATAAAGTACATGATCCAAGACCAGATATTTATTGAGAGGCACACGGCCCTCTACTTCGGCAGTCACCGTTCTCCCATCGGGCAACCCGACCGGGCATGCTTCAATGCGGGTACGTTGGACCAAGCAAGACAGATCACCCGTGACGTGATGTGACGCCCCAGTATCAATTATCCATGGTAAAGAATTAAACATACCCGACATCCGATCACAGGAAGTAGGAGCAACGTTAATCAAATTGAAAAATGTTTGAACCTGTGCCCGAGTTAATTCATTCAACGTGTTTATCTCACCGGAGGAGACTGCCCCATTGCCGGTCACGCTCCCAGGCCCGCATGGCCCACTGCTGCTGCCAGTAACAGTGTGAACACGCACACTTCCTCCATGTCTAGCTGAAGAGGGATCTGTCATGGCAACGTTGAAGACGAAACACGCAGGTGCTGTCTTCTTCGCAGCGTTTGTCTGCCTTTGGTGCGCAGGGAATTACATGTGATGCTCTGATACCATGTTCGAAGTAGTATATGGAACGTATGGCATAAAATCCGAGCTGTCTTTATTCATGTGCTAAGCCAAAGATATATACACGTACAAGAAGAATAATGAGCCCTTGGCCCACCATGACTAAACTAATACGGAGTATACAATTAATGAATTATACAAATAATAATAGGCCCATAACAAAATCAGAAGATGCAAAGAAGGCAACAACAGGCTGTGTTTCAAGAATGGGTGGAAAGAGTTTGTGAAGCAAAACCGCCTGGTTGCTGGAGACTTTGTGGTCTTTAAACATACAAGCCGCCTGATTTTTAAGGTCAATATGTTTGATCTCACTTGTTGCGAGAAAGATTGTCATGGCCAGTCAGAAACATATAACAACATTAGTAAGTCATGTTTGGATACATAATCTTCATATATCTCTAAGAAGGTGTTTTAAAATCATCAATCAATGTTCACTACCACTGACCAACAAAAATCAATTTGGTACAAGATTATATTATGATTTTTAATGTGAAAATAAATTATTAATTAGTCCTCATAAAACATTATATATATATACACAAATATTCCTGTCCGGAATTTCCGGACAGGAACCCCGTCCGGCCTCCTCCATTTGGGGGCCTTCCCGGTGGTATGTTTTGCTCAAATTTTTTGTGTATGTTCTTCATCCAATCTAGTTCTTCCATACCAAATTTCAGCAAAAACTTCAATCGGGAAGGTCGTCAAATGATTTTCACAAGTTAACTGGTCCGGAATATGTATTTTCCGGACCAGTTAACTTGCGAAAATCATTTGACGACCTTCCGGATTGAATTTTTTACTGAAATTTGGTATGGATGAACTAGACTTGATTAGAAACATAAACAAAAAATTTGAGCAAAAAATACCACCGGGGAAAACCCCCAAAAGGAGGAGGCCGGACGGCGCTCTGGTCAGGAAATTCCTTACCGTAAGATTACTCATATACATACATACATACATATACATTATATATATATATATATATATATATATATATATATATATATAGAGAGAGAGAGAGAGAGAGAGAGAGAGGCTGCTCAGGTCCCTCCGGAGGGACGGGAGGGACCGTCCGAACTTTACTGTTTGGGGCGGTTCCCGATGGAATTTTTTGATGAAATTTTTTGAGCATGTTCCTCATCAAGTCTAGTTTGTCCATGCCAAATTTCAGCTCAAAATTCGACCGTGAAGGCAGTCAAATAAATTCTTGAAACTTACTGCACTTTATATATGCGCAGAATGTGCAGTAAGCTTCAAGAATTTATTTGACTGCCTTTACGGTCGAATTTTGAGCTGAAATTTGGTATGCACAAACTAGACTTGATCAGGAACATGCTCAAAAAATTTCATTAAAAAATTCCACCGGGAACCGCCCCAAACAGTAAAGTTCGGACGGTCCCTCCCGTCCCTTCGGAGGGACCTGATCTTTTCTTTTCTGTATATATATATATATATATATATATATATATATATATATATATATATATATATACACACACATATAAGGAATGTTCATGTCAGGCCGGCCTGACGGGCTGCCCCGTCCGGCCGAGCCCGTTTGGGCACCTTCCCGGTGGAAATTTTTGATGAAATTTTTTGAGCATGTTCTTCATCAAGTCTAGTTTGTCCATACCAAATTTCAGCTCAAAATTCTATCGGGAAGGTCGTCAAATGATTTTTGCAAGTTAACTGGTCCGGAATATGTATTTTCCGGACCAGTTAACTTGCAAAAATCATTTGACGACCTTCCCGATCGAATTTTGAGCTGAAATTTGGTATGGACAAACTAGACTTGATGAGGAACATGCTCAAAAAATTTCATCAAAAAATTCCACCGGGAAGGTGCCCAAACGGGCTCGGCCGGACGGGGCAGCCCGTCAGGCCGGCCTGACATGAAGAGCACTCTATATATGTATATACACACATATATATATATATATATATGTATATATATATATATATATGTTTCCGATTGAATATACACAGTTTTCTTTCAAAAATCATTTGACGACCTTTCCGATTGAATTTTTTGCTCAAATTTGGTATGGATGAACTATACTTGATGAGGAACATACACAAAACATTTCAGCCAAAAATACCACCGGTTGTCAGGGGTTCTCACGGGTTCTCATTTTAAGAGGAGTTCTCACTAGAACCCTCCCCTATATATATATATATGTGTGTGTGTGTGTATATATATATATATATATACATATATATATATATAGGGAGCGGTTCCGGTAAGAACAGATCTTAGGAGAAAAATGAGAACGAATCTGGACCGTTGGATGTATTATGTGGAACCAAATTGTGCGTTTGGTGAAACTGAAATGTGCATTAAATGATATTGAAATGTGCAAAATAAAAATTAAACTCAAGTGTGCATTAGATGAAATTGATATGTGCGAAAAAAAAGTACAAAAATAACACCGCATCGTACTTTTTATTCTGCACATTTCAGCTTCACCTAGTGCACATTTCAATTTCACGTAATGCACAATTCAACTGCACATAATGCTACTCTATTATACCATTTGTGATGCACATTTCAATTTCACATAATGCACATTACATTTTCATCTAATGCACATTGAATTTCACTTGAAGCAAATCTAACGGTTCAGATTCGTTCTCATTTCTCTCATAAGATCGTGTTCTTATTTGAACCAAAACATATATATATATATATATATATATATATATATATATATATATATATATACACACATATATATATAGTTTCTCTTTAATTAACAAGTCAACAAATCCTGCTTAAAAAGTACAACAGTTATGTTATGATAAAGGAAACAAGTTATGTTTTACTTCTAATTGGTTGTGAAATTGAAAGTTGATGGAGAAGGATGTGCCCAAGGATCAAATGGTGATGGAGTGCAACTTCACAAACATGAGAAAGTGACGACGGACAAAAATAGTAAGTCGCATGCTGAATATATTGGTGATAATTCATTATATTTTTCTCGATTCTTTTAATTTATAACCAGACAAGTATTTTGGATCGGAACTAAAGCTTGGACGTTGTCGGTGTTATACAAGTACTCGAGTCGTGCGATGTACCAATATATCTAGATTATGATAACAACTCCTCTATAGTTTAAAATTATAGATGTATTTCGTATTTTAGTGTGAGAGTGCGCATTGCTTAATGTGTAACTTGTATATAGGAAAAAGTATGGGCAAGTAACTTTAATTATAGACATTGTAACTTTTATATAATGCAACTATACAAGTATATAGGTAAAGGAAAAACACACATCCTTTTAGGAGTTGTAAGTAAAAAAAAAAAATGACATATCTATAAACTCCACGCGACAACATAAAAACACAATATTACAATGTGGAATATATATAACACAATGTTTCTTTGATTTGTCCGATCCTCACCAAGTTATTTAAAACAACACCATCATTTCTTTTAATGTAAAAGTGTGCAAGACTTATCATACTGAATATGTTTCAATAAATTCTTATAGATTACTCCCTCCGTCCCTTATTAAACTTCCAAATAGGTTTGGCACACAGTTTAAGATAGTGGGTATTGTGTGGTGGAGAGTTGTGCAGAGGAGAGAAAAATGTGTAAGAATTGTTGTGAACCACACATTTTGGCCAAAAAGGGAAAGTGGAAGTATTAATTGGGACGGACGAAAAAGGAAAATTGGAAGTTTATTTAGGGACGGAGGGAGTATATTTTTAGCGTTGCCCACAACATGATCGTTATCTTCCCATATAACGGTTGTTAGACCATATTATGAGTGCCTTTGTTTGCTTGAAAATATAAACATAATTTTAAAAGATGTGTTTTGTAAGAATGTTTTTACTTGGACTGTTTTTAGTCTTAGACTAGACCAAAACAGACTTAAACAAACCAGACCAGATCAGACTTGACTTCCGTAGATATAGAATACACAGAGACCAGACGTTTACCAGACCAGTTCAAATCAAACCAGACATAAACAGATCAGACCAGATCAGCAAATTAAAACATCCTAACTTTCCCAAGTCTTTTATCTAGCATGTCTCGATCCCTTTACCTTTTTAAATTATTCATCAACCGCATTTTATTCAGCTCTTAGTGTTCACTCCATGTGTTGATAGGAAAGAGAGTGACTAAAGGGGTGAATATATCTCCAAGGGAGCAGTGTCCTCAATTTACAAAGACAATAACGCCCTACAATCTACGGGCAAAGTTCCCTTTGATGGTAAATTAATTATGATCAAATTATGAGAACTATCTCCCTCGCCCTAAAATCCACAATTGCGAATCAAAGATATACTCTCTCCGTCCCGCTAAGATTGTCCCATTTTATCTTTTCGGGAAGTCCCACTAAAATTGTCACATACCAAATTTGATAAAGATTGTGTGACTCTAAACCATTCTTACTTTATTCTTACTTTATCAATTTAATATCGACCACACAAACCCACTTTTCTTAATAATCGAGCCACCTTCTTCCGTCTCAATCTTAGTGGGATGGAGGTAGTACAATTTTTCATATGGAATCATAATGTGAAAATATGATTTATCAACCTCTTTAATAAGAATGTTATTGAAAATACTTTAAATTATTTTTTACATTGGGCCTTATTATTATATCATAGAGTAGGAATTTATTATTTGTGCACATATATATCACACATATTTTACTCATATGCAGCATGTGCCTAGAGCATTCTGCCTGGCAAATGGATTTTGTCATAATATGGCTATAACTTTGAAGGGGAGGAGTGGTAAATACCAAGTTGGCTTCAGATTTTATGGTGATCCAGGTGGATACATTTGTGATGGTTGGCGTGAATTCGCTACAAGCAACCATCTTAAAATTGGAGATACGTGCATCTTCAAACTTTGTAGCGCAACTCATACTTCAGATACCATTAGTGTATTCGATGTTGAGATTCTTCGTGTTGTGACTTAGTTTACTCTGTCATAGGTGTTTGTATTTGTAAGGATACTGGTTTTCTATTAATGTTACCCTTTTTGGAGAAGTCATTACGTTTACAAAAAATAGCCCCGTTCACCGATTAAATAATTTTGTCTATGAACATCCTATTCTTAGATTAAAAATAATCCTGACATGCGTATTGATGTGTACAAAAAAGTAGGGTTCTATAATTTTCTTCTCACGTCAAGGGGTGTGAAGAGATTCTTCTCCTAATATGATGGAGTATATAGTACTCTCAAAATTGGTCGGGAAATACGCAATGGCGTTTCCACTCTGGGGACAGTGGGAAAACTACCCACTCGTTCCACTCACTCATTCTTATGGAAGGTCTCGAGTTCGAAACTCCATAGAGACAGTTTCAGTCATGGTTAACCCGGAGGCCCCAACCCCTCTCCCTAACCCCGGCCCGTGGAATTATAAATGGAGGAGTAATTTGGTCCTCAAATCAAATCAAACCAGAGTAAAGACGAAATCAATCCCTTTACAAATACAATAACAAAAAATATAGTACTCCTGTTTTTTATATAAAGAAAATACTACAGCGAGTGATATTACATTGCATCTTCACCATTTTTCCATGTCTAAAAGAAGTTTTAATTTGTCGTTGATAAGTCTGTATTTAGACACGCATTTGATGCGTGTTGGGACCGGATTTTGATGGTTTTCCTAGCTTTAAGGTGTTACAAGTCTCAATTTTAGCTCAAGTTATGTTTACGAGGCATTGGTTCGAGTTTTGTGTCATTTGGAGTCAAAAACAGGATTTTAGAGTTTGGCACCGGCGATTGAGGAGAAATCGGGACGAGTTGAGAAGCATTCGAGAGTGATTTGAGAGCTTTGGAAGTCACTGGGAGGTTTACGATGAAGATTTGATGACAAAAGAGCTCTAGGATTGGATACGGGATCAAAAGAAGACGTATAGAGCTTGAAAACGGCGATCATGATGACCTTCTATCAATCGTTCAAGCATATCTCCTTGTAGTAACATCCAATGGACACGATTCAAGTTCCAAATGAAAGCTAACTTCAAGGGCTACAATTCATATTAGAGGATGAAGGTGAAAACAGACGATTAAGTCAAATGATCCCTATTGCGATTTCATAATGCGACCTTCCACCATTATATTCATATATCTCTTAATTGGATGATTCAAATCAAATTACGCAAGTTGTGGTGGATAGGGATTCATTATCTACAACTTCCATGAAGGAAGTTTTGTCCAATTCGGAAGTTTGATGCACGTCGTGCGTCCGAGGCGAGACAGCAAGGAAGCTACTGCCACCCACGCACGGCCGTGCGTGGGGGGACGCACGCCGTGCGTGGCTAATTTTTGTGCGATACATGCTCCGGACGCACTAGGGGGACGCACGCCGTGCGTGGGCCCTGTGCATTCCCCCTGGAATCCTAATTTCGCTCAAATTGCTCTGTTTTCCCCCTATTTAAATAGCTTTTAAACCCCATTTTCAAAGGGAGAGAGTGCCTAGCACAAATTTTAGAGGGTTTTTCAACCTTGTTCATCAATCTTTTGAGATTCTTTGTAAGTTCCATCTTTTTAATTAATGACAATTATTTCTATTCATCAACCCAATTTCGTTAATTCTTTAATTATGAATTGCGAGTAGTTTTAATTAGGGATTTGGGATTGATGAAGGGGTTGATTATGATGTATGGATAGATTCTTGATGGGGTTGATTGCATGAATACCGTTTAATTTGTGTTTGAATAATTTAATTGATATCTTTTGTAACCTGGAACCGCGTCTAGAATTACAATTGCTTATAGAATAAATTAAGAGAGGTCTAATTTGTTCTAGGACACATTCACACACACTTAATCGTTCGCTAAGAGATTAGTAGCGATTAAGGGGCCGTAAGCTCGCTCGTCTTGGCAATAATTTAGGATCTTTTCGCATGAGAGATCAGCTTGGTCCCCTAAATTATTGTACTCTACGTCACGAGAGCAGTAAGAACTTAGTAATGATTAGCTAGGCTCAATTGAATTAATTTCATTTAATTAGGCTTGATCTGCCAGAAATCTGATTACCCCGGAATGAATCCTTGTTCCCTTCGTCATTAATCAGAGAGAACCCATTTATTTAATCGTTGATGGAGTATATGGCCCAGGAACCCCCGGCCCATAGACTCCTACTTCTCCTACACAAGTCCATTGAGCCCAGAGAACAACTCAGGCCCAGAATACAACGGCCCAAGCCTCAAAGTATCCCAGAATACACACTGGGTGCCTTCGGCCTCCTTGGCCGAAGGCTACAAAACTCACAGGATAGCCTTCTCTGGCATAAGGAGCTGCTGGGAGAAAACGGGCAAAGACGTGAGCCCTCGGCTACACAAGGAGCCCTCGGCTACACAAAGAAGCCCTCGGCTACACGAGAAGCCCTCGGCTACGCACGGAGCCTTCGGCTACACAAGGAGCCCTCGGCTACACAAGGTGCCTTCGGCTGAACAAGCTCAATCATCGAAGATTCCTTTTAGAGACAGCCAACCACCGCATTTAATGCCACGTCGCATCCACCAACCGCATTCAATGCGGTTGACGTACCACTGCCGGTGCCACCAGGCTGATGTGACCCTTCGGCCGTTGGATTACTGACATGTGTCCTCTCATCGCATTTATTGCTGCTATAAATAGCAGCCCATTTCTCCTTGTAAAACACAATCTACATCTCAACTCCACATCTCGAGTTCATTTAATGAAATCGGCTCTCTCTCCTCCTATTTTGCTCTGACTTCTCTCTAGTTATTCCTGCAATAACCCCTCGGATAAGATACCCCCCGGGTAGGCTATCCATCATTTGGTGCTCTCGTTGAGAGGTCTGAACTATCAAGTAAGAAACCCTCCCCCTATACCAAATACAAAACACTTGCCAAAAAATGGGAAGAACCACTCGTGCCCAATCCAAAACTCTGGAGGAGAACCACGTCGCCCCCGGCGAAACCAACGGGGCTGAGGCCTCCAACAGGCTCTTGGTACCCGAGGGTGGTGTCATCCTTGAGTTAGAACAGGCTACCGCTGACCTCCGTCAGCAGCTACAGAAGAACGCCCCTGATGCCCGCATTGGCCTTGATAATCGAAGGAGGGATCGGAGTGAGAACCAAGTTCCCCCTCCGGCCCCGGCCATCGATCTTCAGGCTGCCTTTGCGGCCTTCGTTCAAAACATGGCTCTCAATTCCGGAGCCCTCGCCTCCCAGGCGCCCCTTCAGCCCCACGCTGGAGGGAATGTTATCCAACTACCGCCACTCCCTCCTTTGTTCAACAGTCCTCCCCCGGGGATTGGCAATGCCGAGGGGGTCATGGCGCAGGATACCGCCTCCCAAGAGGCCCAGTCCAGGGACAAGCGCCCCATGATGAAGAAGAAGCCCCGAACCTCTGCACTTGAGAGGCTCGGGGGAGCTCCCGGGAACCGAGTGGTCCAAGACCGCCTCGGGAAACAAGCGCTCAGCAGGCCCCAGGAAAGTGGAGCCTCCGCTTTGGGTGCCGAGGGCGTGCCTCCCCCCCGAAGCAAAGGCAAAGCTCTCCTCCATGCCGATGATGCCAGGCACCAAATCACACAGGCGCAATCCTTCCGGGCCAACTCCCAAGGGGTTGCCCCGAAGGATCCCAAGGACGAAATCATTGAAGCCCTCCTCCGTCAACTCGAGGAAAATCGTCAGGCACCCCCGACGGCTTCCACAGCAAGGCCGGATCCTGAGTACGCCGACCTCCGGGCGCAGGTGGAGGAAATGAAGCGTAAGCTTGCCGAAGGCTCAGGCGAGCCCCTCATTCAACTCCGTACTAGAACACCCTTCACCCCAAGGGTGTTGGCGGCCAAAATCCCCCACAAATATCGGGGGCAACCCATCAAGCCGTATGAGGGGAAGACGGATCCCCAGGAGCACTATAGCCGCTATCAAAACAGCATGATGATGATGGGGGCATCGGATGAATACTTATGCCGTTGGTTCCTTTCCACCTTGGAGGGACCCGCGTATGAGTGGTTCAACCGATTGCCCGAAGGCAGCATTGATTCGTGGCAAGAACTTGCCCACCGCTTCCTCACACAATTTGCAGGGAGGCACCGCTCAAAGAAACACTTCTCCCACCTCCTGAACGTGAGACAACAGAAGGAGGAAACCCTTCGGAGTTTCCTAGAACGCTGGAGGCAGGCCTCCCTCGAGGTCGAGGGTGCTGATGACAGAACCTTGATGGCCCTCTTCCACACCGTCCTCCGCAA